TGGTTAGTACTGCTTGGATGGTAGACCGCCTGGGAACACCAAATGCTGTTGGCATTAAACCTTTTGAGGCCCGTGGTCTGGTGCAAAAGCTCCCGCTTCCCACACGGAGGGCCGGGTTCGATTCCCGGCGGGTGAAATTCCCGACAACTTTTCCTACACCTATTGTCCTGCATTCACTCTAGCAGCAAATAAGGTACCTGGGAGTTAGTCGCCTGGTGTGGGTCGCATCTGGGACCAAGCTTAAGGACCCCAATGGAAATAAGTAGACAGCCTCGAAGACGCACTGACTTTCTGGGTTATCCTGGGGGCTAACCCTCCGGGTTTTAAAAATCCGAACGAAATCTTATCTATCTTATCTTATCTTATCTGCCCGCCGGGCACATCACAAGAGGCAAGAGGGCCACCTATCAACGCTTACTTTTCAGCCAGGCTCCATTTATACCGCTTTGCGGAAAATTCTTAAATAGGTTTTTGGTGAGGAAACCGTTACTGAACTCAGGTGGGAGTGTGGGCGTCCCTCTCTGCTGGGGCCTTGGCAAGGGGGTCCGCCGGATCTAATTGGAAACTTCAAGTTTCTCTCTCTTCTAATTTACAAAGGAGCTTTGTTCCTTTCCTTTCATCGCCCCGGCGCATTGGGGAACAAATCTTCCTCGTACCATCGAAAACCACTCGATAACGTCTTATGTGTCAGTGGCCCTGGATAAACCTAAAAAAGTGACCAACAAAGGAAGTAACACAAGTAAATAACAAAAAGGCACAATACCGTAATGGAAAGATAACACAAATACCCGCACAAGCACCATTATTATATGTTTTACTTACCGTGACAGCCCGTCCTCGTCACACATATTCCTTGTTGTTAGGTAAGACACATATGCAACAGTTTAGGAATCTTATTTCGAACGTTTTCGCCTACACAGTAGGCTTCTTCAGTCGAGTCCTCAAGGAAGGTTCCTTGGATGTTGGTGAGGGGCTCAATGATTTGGGAATTGGATCTGTGCTCCAGTTCCCCGAATTAAGCCTGAATGCCCTTCCACATCCCCCCCCAGGCGCTGTATAACCCCTCCGGGTTTAGCGCTACCCCACCCCTCCCCCTTGATTTATAATAATAATAATCTTCATTCGAGTACAGAAAATTTGATAGAAGCAGAGGAAAAACTTGAAGAACGGATGTAATCAGTCCATCACCCTAAAGTTTTGAGGTGGTCATCCCTCAGTCAGGAGAAGAGCATTGTTCCATAGAACAAGTATCTTCTGCTTCTATCAACTGGGGAGGAATCGACTGAAAAGCTACTGTGTAGGCGAAATGTTTTCGAATTTAAAGATACCTAATTAAAATTAAATTTAAACCTAAAACCCAATCTAACTTTATTATTTTTTAAATACAACACTAACAGAATACTCCATTCTACTGAAATTTACAACAATGCATGCAACCATATTACATGTTCTTTGTAAAACTCACTGTGCTTTATAGTAATCTGTTACATTAAATGTTTTCACTGTTCATCATGCTTAGTTAATCTTAAGTTATTTAAAGCCAGCCCGTTAATGCATGCATAGTATAAGTGGCTTTGGCATGCTGCTCAATGTCTGTATTTTTTTTGTACCTCTGTGATGTGTCTCAAATTATAAATAAATAAATAAATAAATAAAATAAATTGTTTGCATAGTTTGTCTTACCTAACAACCTGCGTTATTTTTATACCATATTAATGTTCAACACATAATTCCTGCTAAGAAGTGGTAGGGGCGCATGGTTATATTTGGCTCGACTAAGACAAGGGGGGAGCGGGTCAACTATACCTAATTGCGAACATATGGTACCTTTTATATTGGAGAAAATTTTGTTTAGTTTCCATTACTTCAACTAGATTCGTTAAAATCTTCACTAGACTTTGTGTTATGTTTGCATTAGCAGAAAAGATTTTGAAGGATGTTTGATGAGACACCAAAACAAAGACAGGCCGGAAATTTGTAGTCCCAAAAATACTGAAGCACATGACCATATACTGTAACATTGATTCCAGGTAATTAGACATTATTTTCTTGTAATCATTGTGAATAAATGGTTAAAAACCAGACAAGTTGAAATTGAGACACTTAATGCAACATATGGGAATCTTTATTGAAGAAACATTACGCAACACAGTGTTGGCACAATGGGGTCGTCCCACAGTTACTAAAAACAACAGACATAGCCCACTCCACAAAGGGGGCAGTAAAGCAACAGCGAAAGAACTACAGAAGACCAATCGCACTAACATCCCATATCATAAAAATCTTTGAAAGGTCCTAAGAAGCAAGATCACCACCCATCTAAGAAACCCTCAGTTATACACAACCCAGGCAACAAGGGGATTAGAACAAGGTCGCTCCTGTCCTGTCTCAACTATTGGATCACTAACGACAAGGTCCTAAATTGCCACTAGAAACAAAAAGAATGCAGTTTAATAAATACACTTTGTCAAAGCCTCGACAAGTGTGACCATGGGCGTAATAGCGCACAAAATGCGTGCGTAAAGGAATAACAGAAAAGTCGGTCGCTGGATCTATATTTCCTCACTAACAGAACTCAGAGATTAGTCGTCAACAGAGTAAATCCAGGCAGCTACGGTGAAAAGCTCTGTTTCCACAAGGCACGGTATCGCGTCCCATCTTGTTCCTCATCCTCATATCCGACATAGACAAGGATGTCAGCCACACAGCCGTGTCTTCCTTTGCCAGATGGCAACTGAATCCTGCACGACAGTGTTCTTCCATTGCAGACTCTGCAAGGCTCCAGGCAGACATCAACCAAATCTTTCAGTGGGCTGCAGAAAACAATATGAAGTTCAAACGATGAGAAATTCAAATAACATCAGATATAGGTAAACTGAGGAAATTAAAATCTTCATCAAGTACAAAACAAATTCTGGCCACAAAATAGAGCGAAACACCCAACGTCAAAGACTGGGAGTGATTATGTTCGGAGGAATCTCACCTTCAAGGACCATACCATTGTATCAATCGCATCTGCTAGAAAAAAAATGAACAGGATGGAAATGAGAACTTCAAAACTAGGTAGGCCAAGCCCAGATGACAATCTATCAGGTCACTTGTCTATCTAGGCTGGAATATAGCTGCACACTAACTGCAACCTTTCAAGGCAGGTGAAATTGCCGACCTAGAAAATGTACAGAAACTTTCACGGCGCGCATAACGGAATAAAACATCTCAAATTAGTGGGAGTCGCTTGAGGTTCCTAACCTGTATCCCGTGAACGCAGAGGGGAGAGATACATGATAAATACACCTTGAAAATCCTAGAGGGACTAGTACGAACTTGCACACAAAATCACACTCACTACGAAAGCAAAAGACTTGGCAGACCGATGTCACCATCCCCCCAATGAAAAGGCAGGGTGTCACTAGCACGTTAAGAGTACCATACAATAAGTGTCAGGGGCTCGAGACTGTTCAACTGCCTCTCCAGCACACATCAGGGGGATTACCAACAGACCCCTGGCATTCTTCAAGCTGGCACTGGACAAGGCACGCTAAAGACAGTCCTGATCAGCCCGGCAGAGTGCTCGTACAGTTGGTTTTCGTGCAGCCAGCAGCAAACAGCCTGGTTGATCAGGCTCTGATTCCACCGGATGCCTGGTCACAAGACCGGCCGCGGGGCGTTGACCCCGGAACTCTCACCCCCCAGGTAAACTCCAGTGAAACGTATCTTCAATAAAGATTCCATATTGTTGCATAAGTGTACTCATCTTCACTTGTAACATTGCAGCACTCATATAACCAGAAGTGTTAAAAGACATGCAAAGCTCTTATTGTCCTTTCATTTCAGAATGAGTTCCATGGTTGCGTCAAGGATAATGTATCATCCGAGGAATTTTAGTATCATCAGCACATTCGACTATCACCCACTGATATACGTACAGTCCCCTATATACACCCAAATGAAACACACTCCTGTCCCAGTACAGAGCATTACCTGTGCTAATGATGGGCACCAGTGCAGGAACAGGCTCAATTGTAGACCATGAGCCTCATTTATTAGAGAGTTACAGTTACGAAAAGTTATATCTCTTTGCATACTTAAAAGACGAATGCATAAATAAACTGCTATATTGGGAAAAAAAATCTTTGAGTCTGTATCCCCAAAACTATTTTGAATGTACATTCATTAGTGAAAAAGTTGACAGTTCTAATAAAAAATTACTATAAAGAAAAACTCATATACTGTTCCTGTGCTATCAAAATACACAAGGCATGAAGATACATAATAATAATTATGCTCTTATATAGGTTGTGTATATGTAATGAATTAGTTTATGTTTCTGCTACGATAAACATTGTTAGGTCAGACAACTATGCAACAATTAGAGTATCTTTATTCCGAAAACGTTTTCGCCTACGACAGTAGGCTTCTTCAGTCGAGTACAGAAAAAGTATTATGGAAGCAGAAGAGACTTGAGACGATTTAATCAGTCCATCACCCATGAAGTTCTGAGGTGGTCAGTCCCTCAGTCTGAGAAGACCTGACCACCCTTCTAAAAACATCAGGTTGATGGACTGATTACATTGCCTTCAAGTCTTTTCAGCTTCAATCACTTTTCTGTACTCAACTGAAGAAGCCTTCTGTGTAGCGAAACGTTTCGAATAAAGATACCAAACTGTTGCATATGTGTCTTACCTAACAACCTGTCGGTATTTTATACCATTTTAAATGTTCACATTAAAACATTAACATACCTTTGATGCAGGTAGAGCAAAATTGGATGCTACCTACCAAGTTTTCCTTGACAGCTGCTATCACAACATTTATCACTTCCAACACAAGCCTTGTTAGCATCACTGAACATGCCTTTTTTATTAATTTTTTAACTTCCGCCAGATTGTCCCAATGTACATTCCTGTCTTGGCACATGGCAGGTGCAACGCAGAAAATGGAAACTGAACCATAAATAGCAGAGTTTAAAAGCAAAGACCCACTGTCCCTCCAATTGATCTTCCACAGGAGTAAAGTTCTAGAAAGTAGTATAACTTAAATATCTTCTATATCAAAGTTTTATCAACAAAATCTGGCATGGAATCAATTTAATACTCACTGTAATACAAGGTGGATATTTTCATAACTGCAACACAGCTTAATTCCTGCGTTTATATTCTTGGGTTTTTCCTTTGGACATGTAAAACCTGAGATATTATATAATATGACAAAATTTGAATCTTTATATAATTTAGCACAACACCTAGAAGTAATTTAACTAATTAACCGCCGTTTTTCTTGACTGTCGCAGCCCCAAATCCTGAGGTGTCTCCTGGTGTCGCAAATTTTCAAAAAAAAAAAAAAATTTCTTATGAAATGATAGAGAATCTTTTCCTGATTGTAATGACACCAAAAGAACAAAATTTGATGAAAACTGACAGAATACGCTTCGCGAAATAGTGACCCTCGGTGATATTTTACGAATCGGCGATTTCGCCCACTTTGGAGCCCATTGTTCCGTCAACCAAAACTCAAAGCTAATTTCTTAAGAACTCCATTTTTCTATCGATTGATACAAGAAACTGCCCATTTACAGATTTCAACTACCCTATAATGTTGTCAGAAATTTGCAATTTTGGGCCAATTTCACGAAAAATAAAAATATGAGAATTTCAAAATTAGGGTCCAGAATGAACAATGCAGACATTCAGGCTCAAAATAACATTTTCCTTGTTCACAGTCCACATCTCCAGCCCCTCTGATTTATTACTCTTGCTTTCTATTTGTAATTTTTATTCAAACAAAAAATAGAAGATTTACTGTCATGCAGACACTTCAATATTATAAATTGTATAAATAAAGTCAACCCATATCATGACTGCATAATAAAACTGGCTCCTGGGACTTATGAAAAATGACATCATTTGTTTACTTTTTTGAAAAACATCGGCAAAAATCAAACATTTCCCCTTACTTTGAGCACCATTCAGGCTCTTCCATAGTAAACCAATCAAAATCACCTCTATTTCTATAACATGTTTTTCCATTATCTTCAAATGAGACCAAGAAAAACAGAATACCAACCATAAATACTATACGAAATAGACCTACAAAGGTCGCAATTATAATTAAAAAAACGGATTTTTTTTTTCTCATTATACACGGCGTGCTGCAGGATTTTTTTTATACGGTGCACACTGACCACCAGACGCCCCTCTCTCACATGTGGGCCTACTACCAGCTTTCTCCTGCTTGATTTGAAGCCGCTAGAATTTATGAGTATATAGTGGTCCCCTGGTTTTCGTAGTTCCCGGCACTCTTAAAATTCACCAATCATAGGGGTATTTTCGTATAAACATGGACTCGCTTTTCATAGGTTGACTCATGAGTCGTAAGTTACGTCCGGGTACGGCTACCCACTGCGTTTAGCCGGGGCGGCAGCCAGTCTGGCATTGTTTACCAGTGAGCAAAGGTCCCCTCACGTGCTCCAGCGAAATATTTCATAATATTCCATTTATTTTAGTGCTTGCAAGTACTAAATACTTTGTATAGAAAGAGGTTTAGTTATAGGTAATACATATTTTAAGAAAAAGAGGATAAATAAGTATACAGTATGATGTAGGGCGAAATGACAGTAGTTTGTTGGATAAATGTAATTGGATCTAGATAAAAGACTGTTGAAGTAGACTTTCAGGATGTACAATGTTTATAGAGGTGCACAGAATATATCAGATCTCTTTCTAGTATGAGCTACACTGAGAGTACAAGGTAGATGGGATACAAGGAGAATAATAAGCCATCAGGAAGAGAGAGGTGAAGGTTTATAAACTAAAAGAGGAGGCAGTTAGGGGTAAGATATAAACACCTATTGGAGGATAGATGGGCAAATGAGAGCATAGCAATGGGGTCGAAGAGGAATGGGTAGGTTTTAAAAATGTCGTGGTAGAGTGTTCAGCAGAAGTTTGTGGTAACAAGGAAAGTGGGTGTCGGAGGTAGAGATCGATTTGGTGGAATGATGATGTTAAAGAAGTAGTATGGGAGAAAAAGTTAGCATATGAGAAGTTTTACAAAGTATAAGTGATGCAAGAGGGAAGAGTATATGGAGAAAAAGAGAGAGTGTTAAGAGAGTGGTGAAGCAATGTAAAAAAGAGACAAAGAGAGAGTGGGTGAGATTTTATCAACACATTTGTGAAAAAAAGAAAAGAGTTTTGGAGTGAGATTAACAAGTTAAGAAAGCCTAGAGAACAAATGGATTTGTCAGTTAAAAATAGCAGAGGAGAGTTATTAAATGGAGAGTTAGAGGTATTAGGAAGATGGAGGGAATATTTTGAGGAATTGTTAAATGTTGATGAAGATAGAGAAGCTGTGATTTTGTGTATAGGGCAAGGAGGAATAACATCTTGTAGGAGTGAGGAAGAGCCAGTTGTGAGTGTGGGGGAAGTTCGTGAGGCAGTAGGTAAAATGAAAAGGGGTAAGGCAGCCGGGATTGATGGGATAAAGATAGAAATGTTAAAAGCAGGTGGGGATATACTTTTGGAGTGGTTGGTGCAATTATTTAATAATTGTATGGAAGAGGGTAAGGTACCTAGGGATTGGCAGAGAGCATGCATAGTTCCTTTGTATAAAGGCAAAGGGGATAAAAGAGAGTGCAAAAATTATAGGGGGATAAGTCTGTTGAGTATACCTGGTATTGTGTATGGTAGAGTTATTATTGAAAGAATTAAGAGTAAGATGGAGAATAGGATAGCAGATGAACAAGGAGGCTTTAGGGAAGGTAGGGGGTGTGTGGACCAGGTGTTTACAGTGAAACATATAAGTGAACAGTATTTAGATAAGGCTAAAGAGGTCTTTGTGGCATTTATGGATTTGGAAAAGGCGTATGAAAGGGTCGATAGGGAGGCAATGTGTCAGATGTTGCAGGTGTATGGTGCAGGAGGTAGGTTACTGAAAGCAGTGAAGAGTTTTTACGAGGATAGTGAGGCTCAAGTTAGAGTATGTAGGAAAGAGGGAAATTATTTCCCAGTAAAAGTAGGCCTTAGACAAGGATGTGTGATGTCACCGTGGTTGTTTAATATATTTATAGATGGGGTTGTAAGAGAAGTAAATGCGAGGGTCTTGGCAAGAGGCGTGGAGTTAAAAGATAAAGAATCACACAAAAAGTGGAGTTGTCACAGTTACTCTTTGCTGATGACACTGTGCTCTTGGGAGATTCTGAAGAGAAGTTGCAGAGATTGGTGGATGAATTTGGTAGGGTGTGCAAAAGAAGAAAATTAAAGGTGAATACAGGAAAGAGTAAGGTTATGAGGATAAAAAGATTAGGTGATGAAAGATTGGATATCAAATTGGAGGGAGAGAGTATGGAGGAGGTGAATGTATTCAGATATTTGGGAGTGGACGTGTCAGCGGATGGGTCTATGAAAGATGAGGTGAATCATAGAATTGATGAGGGGAAAAGGGTGAGTGGTGCACTTAGGAGTCTGTGGAGACAAAGAACTTTGTCCTTGGAGGCAAAGAGGGGAATGTATGAGAGTATAGTTTTACCAACGCTCTTATATGGGTGTGAAGCATGGGTGATAAATGTTGCAGCGAGGAGAAGGCTGGAGGCAGTGGAGATGTCATGTCTGAGGGCAATGTGTGGTGTGAATATAATGCAGAGAATTCGTAGTTTGGAAGTTAGGAGGAGGTGCGGGATTACCAAAACTGTTGTCCAGAGGGCTGAGGAAGGGTTGTTGAGGTGGTTCGGACATGTAGAGAGAATGGAGCGAAACAGAATGACTTCAAGAGTGTATCAGTCTGTAGTGAAGGAAGGCGGGGTAGGGGTCGGCCTAGGAAAGGTTGGAGAGAGGGGGTAAAGGAGGTTTTGTGTGCAAGGGGCTTGGACTTCCAGCAGGCATGCGTGAGCGTGTTTGATAGGAGTGAATGGAGACAAATGGTTTTTAACACTTGACGTGCTGTTGGAGTGTGAGCAAAGTAACATTTATGAAGGGGTTCAGGGAAACCGGCAGGCCGGACTTGAGTCCTGGAGATGGGAAGTACAGTGCCTGCACTCTGAAGGAGGGGTGTTAATGTTGCAGAGTAAAAACTGTAGTGTAAAGCACCCTTCTGGCAAGACAGTGATGGAGTGAATGATGGTGAAAGTTTTTCTTTTTCGGGCCACCCTGCCTTGGTGGGAATTGGCCAGTGTGGTAGTAAAAAAAAAATAATAAAAAGTACTAAATAAGCTACCATGGCTCCAAAGAAAGCTCCTAGGGCCAAGCCTGTGGTAAAGAAGGTGAGAAATACGATTGAATTTAAGAAAACCATCATTGAACAATATGAAAGTGGTACAAGTGTGGCCGAACTGTCCAGGATGTATAAGAAACCCTACACAACCTTATGTTCCATAGTGCCCAAGAAAAAGGAAATAAAGGATGCTGTTGTTGCAAAGGGAGTAATTATGCTGACAAAAATGAGATCACCAGTACTGGAAGAGGTTGAGAAGTTATTATTGGTGTGGATAAATGAGAAACAATTAGCAGGAGATACTCTTATGACTTCGATTATTTGTGAAAAGGCTAGGCAGTTGCATGAAGATTTGGTAAAGAAATTGCCTGCAACTAGTGGTGATGTGAGTGGATTTAAGGCCAGCAAAGGCTGGTTTGAGAGATTTAAGAACCGTACTGGCATATACAGTGTGGTAAGGCATGGTGAGGCTGCCAGTTCAGACCACAAGGCGGCTGAAAAATATGTGCATGAATTCCAGGAGTACATAGAGGCTGAAGGACTGAAACCTGAACAAGTGTTCAATTGTGATGAAACAGGCCTCTTTTGGAAGAAAATGCCAAAGAGGACCTTCATTACACAAGAGGAAAAGGCAATGCCAGGACACAAGCCTGTGAAAGACAGGCTGACGCTAATGTTCTGTGCTAATGCTAGTGGGGATTTCAAAGTGAAGCCATTACTAGTGTACCATTCTGAAAATCCCAGAGTGTTCAGGAAAAACAATGTTATGAAGAGAAAATTGTGTGTGTTTTGGAAATCTAATAGTAAT